CCTCCGCCGGGGCGTTCGGAAGGTGAAGCCGTGCGGCCACGGTGTTGTAGGGAGTTTATCTACCAGTTCCTGCGCCCGTTCCCTGAGGTGTCTGCGGGCTCAGGTACCCGTGTGCGAGGGGTGAAATAGGCTGGAGAAAAAAGTCGGGTGGAAAATCCCTGTGGGGTTCTGTGCCCAGGCAAAGCCTGAGCAAGGAAAATCCTCTTAGAGACATAAAGGTCAGCTAGTGGGTTTCAGAAACAGGATTTAAAGCGGCAGAAGAAAGAAATGAATGGACAGCCTATATACCTTAAAGGCAATCTAAAATGAAAAATGTCTAACCCTGTAAGAGGATATACCCTCCACTCAAGCGTTTTTTGTTTAATGTCCTTTCTATTGGGAAACAATACTTCATGACAGAAATAAAAGCTAATGAAAGTCACATAAAAACTGTGTCTTGCTGGAGTAGGTAGCTTTTGGTGTCTGAGGAGAAGGACCAGGTATCTTTTGTCATCTTCCTGAGTATGCTTTTGTACTTTACTGTGAAAATACCAGATAGATTAAGTAAGTTTTTTTTACCAGAGTTAGTACTAGTATTGCAATTTTTTTCCAAGAAAACAGGGTACTCATGTTTAGAGTTGATTAGAAAAGGTAGAAAGAGAGAGGGATGGAAGATGAAATCAAAACCACCTACCAATTAACTGAATATAAAGGAACTTAGTGTGTGAAATTAAGGTAAATCTTCCCTATTTCTTGACTTAAGAAGACTACTTTCAATTTTGGTAACAATATTATTCGCATATATTGTTATGCTGAAATAATTTGTAATACAATTACAGCTTCAGGTCATTGCTATCTTCATTCTAATCCTTTTGTTTTTAAAATCTTGTACTAGCATTTCCTAAATGAACCCTAGAAAATGATTGTACTGTAAGTAGACAGATGAAAACATGAACTTTTTTTTTTTTTTTGAGATAATTTAAAATCTGTTAAGTTGCTTTAGGAACTATTAGGCTCCCTGCCTAAGCCTAAGATCACTTTCAAGATCAGTTGAATTCTTGTAGTGTTTGATGGGATTTTTCTATGTGTGTGATAGTTCTTCTATGGTAGGCACCATACAAGCCTGTGATACCATGGAATTCTGCTGGATAATTAATAGGTTGCTGGTGATGATGCTGTACATTATGGTCATGTGGCAAACTTGTTTTCTTAGTGAATGCGAAGAATAAACAGGAGCAAAAAAACGGAAAACCAGGAGTTCAAGATAAGTGTTACAGGCTCTTTTTTTTCCTTTAAAGTATGACTCACTGTGCATGCACTAAGCAAAAATGTGCAAAGTCGTCCTTTTTTGAACATTAAGTGATTCAGCGAGTTGAATGATGTAGTATGATGCACTGAGATAAGTGGGCTAAAACAAACCTTTCAGTGGAAACAATGAAGAATGCTAGGAAGAACAAGGGAGAGACTGCAGAGTTCTCTCCCAAATATATAGGAAGCATTTGATGAGAAGCTTATTGCATGAATATGATTATGAACAGTTAGTGTGAAAACTTGAGTTCTATTCCCAGTTAAGTTTTACTTCATTCTTAACCTCATAGTGAAACAAAGGTGCTTCTTGTATCCCACACATGTGAGTCCGTGGTTTTCAGTTTGTCATTTTTCTGTGAGAGCATGGAATACTTCTGAAGGGTCCATGAAGGGTGACAGAAATAGTCTTGTTGCCACTGGACGCAATTGCTGTCTAAGAGTTCCTGTCTTGATAACTATTTTTTAGAGTTCTTGAACCTGAAGAAGGATGGAATGAATGAAATGGATCCTTTCCAGAGCCTTTCTCTGTCTTACTGATATATAAGCTTTTGGTTCAGGAAGCCCCAGAGCTGGGAAGGATTCAGGTTCTTATAATACTTCTATTCTCCTGTGGATGTCAGTGGTGGAAACAAGGTACTGGGCTAAATGGACCTTTCATCTGACCCAGCAGAGCTGTTCATAAGAGATATCTAGGTACTTTCCCAGTATAAACCATTCCATACTACTGGAGGAATGAAATGGAGATACACTCCAGCTTCAGAACAGGAGTATAAAATGTAGATTTTTTTTTTTTTTTTTAATTACTGAAAATGTGAAGAAATGACTTTTGGATGAGGTCAGTGGAATGCAGCAGCTTGTGAAAAAGCAGATGTGATAAAGAGATCCACCAGCAGAGGAAGATATGCAATCTTTTCAGATAGAGTAGGAAGTGATGAGATGGAGGGAGGGAGGAACTACCCTGGGCTTGCTAGGACTTGAGAGATGAAGGATGAATCATGGTTTTGAATGAATTTTACAGTTTTAGACCTTAACATAGAAATTTACAAAACGTGTAACTGCAGCTAAGTGTATTAGGCTACCAAGTTAATGGCAGTACAGTGAGTTAACATGGTCACCACAGGATGGAAGGAGATGTGTCAGAATTTTGTTTACAAAAGGTGAAAACCCATTCGACTCTGCCCATATAATAACATGTAAAGAATCTATAACTTTAATTAGACTTCTACAAGTGAAGCTGCTCTTATGGACAGGAACAGGGACTACACAGGGACATGAGTTTCAACATGTTTTGGTCTTTCTGATGCTTCTTTGAGGAGATGCAGGCTGCAGCAAGAAACAGAACCTGGCATGAACAGAACTCCAGGGTTTGGGTTTGTTCAGGACTGCAGGTTTGGATTTGTGCAGTTCCAGGTGGGAAAAGTAGCTGTTAAATACAAATCTGGTAGCATGAGGTGAAGCCTTCACTTTGTTCATTGCTTTGTATTACTTGGAATAATGCATTCAGAAAGCTTCTTCCATAAAAAAATTAAGCCTAAATCTTTACTAATCCATTATACCAGTCTTTCTTAAAGCATTTGTGTTAAATCAGCATTAATTTACACTTTTTCAGGTTGTCAGGGCTTTATTTGAAACTCGCTTGTCCATTTTTAATGTTTTAACAGACCTTGCACAATATGCAAGATGAAACAGACATTCATGTTTCCATTTTTGTTCAGAAAAGGAACTTTACAGTTCAAACCAGAATTGCTAATGTGGCTGAAGCTGAGGAGGTGTGGCCTGAAATACTATTGTTTTCATATCCGAAGTGTCTTTCAGCAGTACTGCACATAGATTACAAATAGACAGTGAACTGAGGAAATACTTCTCCAGCTGAAGCTTATATTTGAGAATAATACTTTTAAGTGTTATGCTATTAGTGCAAGAAGGGAAATTAAGCCTCATATTGGGGAAAAAAAAATAATCCCAAATTATTCATTTCCTGTAGTATTTCCAGTCTTGTGAGATAGGTTCTTAAATATTTTATTGAACAGATGTTAACGTGACATTCAAGGCGACTGAAAGATGCACACACTTGAGTATATGTATCTATGTTACATATATATACACATATAAATATCTTGTGCGTTGTTTATATATAAATGTTTACACATGAATTAAATATATTTAAGTATATACATGTAGTTATATACATGCATGTATATAATACACTATATGAAGTATCATATATTATTTGTATACAAATGATATATACTACTTTAATAATGTTATTTGTATAGGAATGTTTATAGGAATAATATAGACTGTTTATACCCACATATGTAAAAAACCCCTTTGATAATCAAAGATTACTGAAATGCCTTTTAATTCAAACGGATCTTATTGGAAGGCAGTGGAAGTTAAGACCAAGTCAAAGATAACAGACTGAAGGTTTACTGTGAAGTGTGTCTGAGATGCCTGCTAGGCAAGGTTTGTTTTCCCCCCGTGCTGTCAAAACTCTGGGTTACTCAATACTCAAAGGAGCGATTGGTCACGTAGCGGAAGGAACAGACCTAAGGCTGCCAAAGCAAACGGGCAAAGTGGAAGGAGATGCTGGTAACAGTGCTAAAGGCTACAAACAGAGCAAGGAGTGTGCATCACTGAGTTAGAATGGATGTTTAGTTTCAAGTCTTGATAAAGGAATGCTAGATTGGAAAGCTGATAATTGGGCAGAGAGAGCTTTGGATTTCTTGGGCTTTAGAGAGATTGAGGCATCAATAGTAATTCTTTAAGCAATCGTTCTTGAATGGTTCTTATCTGCATGAGTCAATTGGAGTATTTATATAAAAAGAACATTACTGAGTTCATTTTAAAAATTTTCCTTCTGTAAAATATCATAGCTTTCTGTGCAACCATCAAAATAACAATAATGACAAAGTGATTATATTTAGCATTTTTTATTTCTGATAAGTTTCTGTGTCTGCATCAGAGACCTTGAATGGACAGAAAGATCAAGAGAAAAGCTCATCGAGTGTTCAGTACTACATGTGAGTTACAAGTTTCAGTTTGCTTTTGATATATAATATGCCTAAATCTAGAATGTGGCTTTGTAAATAAATAAAACCAAGATAAAGTTTCCTTCTCCTTTGACAAGCAAGTCATGTGCTCCTGCATTTCAGCCTTCACAGCTTCAGCGTACTACAGCCTACACAACTTCAGTAGTGTTGTGTAAGATCTCTTTCCAAAATATACAGTCAAAGCCACCATCAGTTCTGGGTAGGCTTCAAAACTGTCATTTTTGTGTTGTTGGGATGCCATGGTAGAGGCCAGTGAGTTAAAAAATTAATCCAAACCAGCTCTGCTCCACTTAGCATTCTCTTTATGCCCAAAAAGTCAGACTTTGTTTTAGAAGTCAGCTGTGTTTAACTTGGACTCATGGATTCTCTTAACTGTGAGAGAATAAGGTAGTAAATAAATACCTTACTCGAAAAAGGCACATTCTTTTAAAAGTTATGTTTGTGTTGCATATTAGATATCTAATATCACTGCCTACTGTAAGGAAATGGATTTCACTCATTCTTACTTCTGTTGACAAGTGATTCCCTGGTCTTGCAAATTCCAGCTACAGGATCTCAGAAAATACAGCTTCTGAAATGTCATCGCCCGTCAGCAACTGCCCACACTTGGAATCAGTTGGTGAAATAACAAAAGAGGAATTGATACAGAAATCTCATGTGAGTTGTAGCAGCTTACCTTCTTCCTATCACAGTTAACTCTGGTCGCTTGTTTTAGCTACATATCTTGTCATGTGTTATTAGTTATAAGATGCATTTAAGTATTAAGCATTGGTAAAATCTTCTGTCCAAGAATTGTAAGGTTTAAACAAAGTATGGGAAGAATTATGGACTTGATAAAAATGAAAAACTGTTTTTCAGTACTAAACACTTAAAAACTACCTTTCCCAGCAGTGTTTTCCAAATAAAGTGATGTTTTAATGTAAATATTAGTTAAAAGAGTTAGCATAACACCAAGCTGAACTTCCCAGACACTGCCATTGTAGCAGGTAGTTATTTGGAATGTTAATGTAATAGAGTATAACTGACTTGACTTCAGGTACAAACTGTAACAAAGGAATTTATCCTTCAGGGGTTTTTTTGGGTAACACTTCCCTTTTTGATGGAGGAGCCACAGTTTGAGAAACTGCCTGTACCTGAACTCTTGGTTTCAAGCTAGTATTAATGAGTGGAACAAAGAAAGATCTTGTAACTCATTATAGTAGCTGGGAGGTTATGAAAAGCCAAACCTTTTCTGTCCATGGTGCTAAATTCTTTCTCTGGAAAGTCCAGCAGTTGGTTTGCTGCTGGGAGGTGCAGCATTTCTCTAGTGTTGCATCTTTTTTATTTTTTTTTCTTTTTAAACCTTTGCAGGTAGTGTTAGCTGTCTGCAAGTAGGAACAGGCAGCTTTAGCACTTTAATTTCTTTGTATGTTAAATTGGTAGAAAAGACCAATTTTTAGGATTTTTATAATAATGTGATATGATATATATTTCTGCTTTATCTAGAAGAACAAATTTTGATTTAATATGAAAACTTGGAGAGATCTCCAAGGTTTTACTAGAAGAGTATGCTGATTTTAGGATTATGTAAAGCAAAACAAAAATTGAGTTAGTAGTCAACACATCCTCTTTTCTGTCTTAAAATTACTCAGTTGATACTGAGCTATACAGTCTTCTTCCTCATTTTTGTCTCCAAGATGTGGTTTACTGGTGAAAGTAAATGAAATGATACTTTTTGTGTTTTAACTTTAATAGGGCACTTGTCAGGACTGTAAAGTCAGAGGACCCAACCTTTGGGCATGCTTGGAGGTAAGTTGTTCTGTTGTTCCATTGTGGAGTTCTTTTCTATTAATCTGTAGATAAAGTTCGTATTTTTTTGAGAAAACAACTATTATGAAGTTCTTTAAATTAGTGTATTTAAATTATTATTTAAAAGCAAAACCTCTTGTGCAGTTTTCTATTTTGAAAATTATTTACCTTTTATCAGGTATTTCTTGTAATTACCTTTTATCAGGTATTTCTTGTAATTTAAGAACACTGTGTTCAAAATGAGATTTTTTTTTTTTAACAAGAAAGTAGCATATTAAGGCTTCTTCTTGAGTTATGATATTTTTTAAGTCTTAAGATTTTTTTTTTAATCTTTTCCCCAGGTCTGTAGGTCTGAAAAATAATATATTATTACTGAATTAAGTTACTTTTTACAAGTCTCTCTGAGCATTTGTAGTAATAACATTTAGCAGTAAATGCAGACTTTTTACAGCATAAAAATACATAGTCTGACTTTTTTTATTCTTAAGCAAAACAAAGAAAAAACTCATTTTGAAACTTGTAGAAGCATGTATAAACATTCTTCAAGTGTTGTATGAATTTTGTAAAGTCTTTACTCTCTATATAGGTCTTTCTGAAATATGTTCTTGCCTTACTGTCCTTGTCATCTACAAAGATATAGTTTTCAGTGTATTTAAAAGAAAAAGCTCTGAAAACGTTGCTTCTGGTTGATCTATGATACCAAAGGAAAGTATAGAGCTGATTTAGTTTTTAAAATGTCTCATGAGTTCTTCAGGCATGCAGCTGTTTCCAGAGGTGGAAGTTTTGCTCTATAGGCTTGATGTCATTTCTTGGCAACATTTGTCTAAGTCCTGTTGGGAAGATTTCTAGGCTGAGGTGCCGGCCTTTAGGTGTATGTAGGAGTATTTTTAAAAATCTACTTCATTGTCCTTTTAAGTGGATTGTAGTAACAATAAAGATATCAGATTATTTTGCTCCTTTTATCAATAAGAAATAGAAGTGAAGGGGGAGAGAAAGTGTTTAATGTCTTTTTGTTAGATGGTTTGAAGTTTAATTACATATAAAATCCCTTTTGGGAGTAGGAAGAGATGTTTGGGGATGCATCAGCCTGGCAGGTGGGGAAATGCTGTGAAGCTCAAAACATGGTTTTTATTTCTCACTTAGAGCTCTTAAACCGTTACTGAAAAACTTAATTTCATACTGACATTTCCATAGGAGAGTTTTCTGATTACAATAGGATACTTAGTGTCATGCTGTGATATATCTCCACTTGGATGAACTGGCATCTTGCCTTCACCTTTTTCAGTAAAAAAACAGGGTGAGATCCCAGCATGTTAACTGTCTGTAATTTAACCAATATCTGTGATTACTTAATATAGAAAACTGATTGCGTTCAGCTGCTATTTGATTGTCTAAATTAACCTGTTTAGCGAGTTATACAGATAACATGCTGTATCCTCTTATGTGATTGTCTTGACTCATGCAAATGAGGAATTAATGAAAATTGCTTGAAGATTGGCAGCTGCAAGATTCCACACTCCACTCAGCCAAATATGTTTTGCAATTAGCACAATTAAAATCAACAATTATTTTGCATGTTATAACTAGAATGTTGTAAGTACTTAACCATATGGTGCTGAAAACTCTTTATTTAAAGGTGAGAAAACTAATAAATTGTGAAGTAATACTCTGATAAATAGACTCTGCAGATAGGGGCATACAGGCATTTTTTTATAAATGTGTCATGTTTCAAGGCTGTTGCAATTCAGTATTTTAGTCACTGGACTAACTTCATATTTTCTGTCATAATCTCTACCAAATAATGAATTGTTAAAAATACATCTTGACCTTAATCTGAATAAATATCTCAAAATGGCCAAAAACTATATTCCAAATGCATTATATGTCTAACACTACCCACCAGTGAGAGGAGTTGAGGTAAATCTTGCAGCATTCTTACTTGCTTTAGGTGATACTTATTTTAACACTTATTGTGCATGTCCTTGTTTTGTGTAGGGTTGTGCAAGTTTGAAATTTGAGTGAATTTTAAAGGGACTGGTAGAATATTCTTAGTCTGTAAACCTGTTTGATGCCACATTTTAATTCTGTGTACTTCTTTGTATCTTGCTCAACAGAACAGATGTACATATGTTGGCTGTGGTGAATCCCATGTTGATCACAGTACCACCCATTCCCAGGTATATGTAATAATAATTGCTTATAATACAGTTATTTGAAGCAGTGAAGTAGAATTAGAGAACACCTTTAAAGTCATTTTAGTGAAGTCAATAACCTATGTCAGTCTAACTGTTTGTTTGGAAGTTTGATTAGCTATGATTGTTTTTCATCTATAGAAGCAGTTCTTACTAATTTAGGTGTATGTGAGTTTACAGTCTTTGTTCAGCTGCATAATTACTTATGTAATTCTGACATTTCTCAGAAGAACATGGTGAAAATTAAAAAAAGAACAACAGTTACTGATGATTTTCAAGATATGTGGACAAAATAATTCTTGTGTACTTCAGTTTATATGTAGTACTCTACTACTTCAGTCTAACTTTTTAGTATTGTGGCTGCCTGATGAATAAGGGAAGGGAAGTTGGATTAATGAAGATGAGAGCTGAACAGATGTGAGTTAGGAAGTGTAAATTACCAGAAACAGGTGCATTGTTTCTGCATTATGCTCCCTGTTCCAGTGGCTACAGATGAAGAACCTGTAGAGTTTGCTGAGCATATTCTTCCCTGCTATGTCCTGATTTTGGATCCAGCTTGGTAGGAGCAGTGAAGGGTGTGCAGTATGTTCCCTAGCATGCCAAGTTCTGGCAAGGTTGGACAGCTTGAGTGCATCTGTTTGGGTCTTAAATTCACTGTCTGTTCTGTGCACACTTGCCAAAATGAAGCAAGTGAGATCTATCGTTCTCTCTTAATCAATATACTGGGGACAGAGGGATGGCAGTTTTATTAACATGTAATTTCAGAGTTGCTGACTTTCCGATTAAATGAACTTCTTGCCTACCATTTTACAGTTCATCTGTCAGCAAATACATCTAAGGTTCCACACTGAGCAGTTTTTGGTCCTTAAAAATACTAAAAAAACCCCACGCCTTGGTGAATATGAAAATGAACAGATAGTATATACCAGGGTTTTCACCAGAAGTATGCTTTATGACTGCATCTTATCACTGCTCCTGATTTTTTTTTTTAAGCAGGGCCTTGAGAGGAGTACATATTTATACAAATCAAGTGTGTTAATATAAATACAAAGTGGAGTTTTTTTGCAGCTGTTTCAGCTGAATCACAGTTCTAAAGCCTTTAAAATAGATATATAAATGAGCTGTTTGTAGCACAATTGGGGAACAGATGGTCCCTGGATTTATTGCCTACAATTTTATACCTCTTGGCTTTCTACAGTAGTTTTTCTGATTTACATGCTGTTTTAGCAATGTTATGTACTTGCCAGGTAAGAGAAAGGAAATGGATAGTTTGCTTGCTGCTTGCTGTCAGTGACATCCTTGTCTTGATTTTCTTGTTACTTAATTTTAATTTCTGGATATTAAGCCCTCTTCTGGAATATTTTTTTTTTCCCAGTAAAAATATCGATATTAACTCACTTGAATGAGAGAAACAAGGTTGACATGAATCAGTTTATTTCTGCTTACTCCAGTTTCCACCAGCAAGGCTCCTTGTACTGCACATGATCATGTTCATTGTGTCCACTTCAGGAAAACTAATAAGCTGTTGCTCTGGAGACTTGTAATTATTTATACAGCTGAAGTTGCATAATCAAGCATATTCTCATTATCAAAATTGTCTGAGATATTTGCGTAATCTGACGTTTCTGATGTTTTTTCATAGGGAGAGGGCTACTTAACTGTAACCCGCATTTTATATTAAAACCATTGTTCTTGTACAAGGCCCTATTAAATGAGAGGAGAAGGAGGAACTTGAGCATCCTGCAGCAGTTGTAGTATTTTCCTAATTTCTTGCAAATCCCTCATTGTCTATAAACCTGGCTGATACCAACACATAAGGAAGAAATACAGGAAGGGTTGGTGGAAATATTTGGAGGATGATAGCAACTGTGTACACAATCTACAGTAAGCAAAGACATTAAAAAAAGAAATATGAATATTAGAACAGTAAAAATATCCTCCGTCAGATTTTTATATTGCTTCAAAGTATGAAGCTGTCAAAAAGAGTTCTAGAGTCTAGAATGTTTGTTTTGATATGAGCACCTCTTACTGTAACTTTTTTCTCTTCTGATTGTTAAATAGCTTGAATTTCCTACAGCAAACCAGTAGAAATAAACACTGCCCTTACTGATGGCTAACATTACGATCAATAGCAGACATTCCTGGAAAATTGGTTCCTTATGAGTTGTAATGCTTCTGACAACAGGCTTTCTTCTTGTTTTTGTAATTATGTAGAAGCATGTCAAATATGACAGTGGCTTAGGTTCTGATTGTACCTTGTTGCTAATTTGAGTGACTTTTACTAAAAATGAGTGTTGGATAGTTTGTGCTAAAATTTCAGTAATTGAATTGCTATTTTTTAATATTCTAACCTACATATTTGTTTCATTGTTGAAAGATTTAGAGTTTTAATACTTCTGTTCTAGCTTGCATGTAGTAATATTTAATTATTCCAAATTTCTGAATCACAGTTTTGGTTTTTGTTCTGTTTTAGGAGACAAAACACTGTCTAACTGTCAACCTTACTACACTTCGTGTTTGGTGTTATGCCTGTAGTAAGGAAGTATTCCTGGATAGAAAATTAGGATCTCATTCTCCACTACCAAATGCAAGACTGTCTCACCAAGCACAAGAAAATAGTGTGCAGGTATTTTTTTTTTTTTTTTTAACCCCATGAAGCAAAGGCAGCTGCAGCTTTGCATTAAACATTGTGTCTTCTCTCAAGTGGGAGATGGACTTTTCCTCCTTTCTTGTGGCTGAGCTTTCTATTAATTTCTCTTTATTTTTATAAAATTTCTTTAAAAAGACATTGCCCAGCTTCTGTGTTCTGTCTCTGTGTACTGCATGCTTCCTAAGAAGGCTTTTTTCATCTTACTGTCTAATTGTTTGTAATCTACAATAAACTGTAAGGTACAGAAAAAGCACAGGGTTAAATTTAAGGTTACAAGTAGTATGTGTTCATGGATACTGAGATACAAATTCATTCACATGAGCTCAGTATTTTTAGAGAAATATATGCTAATTGTTAACCTCATTCAGCTAGCAATGTAAGACACTTAAAGGGATTCCTGTAACTTAGTTTCAAAAGTTTAAACATGTCTAGTTTTCAGTTTTGATAAATGACTGAAAAGGTCTTGATTTTTGTGTGTGTATATGTGTGTGGGAAAATTTTTTCCAGTGTAGTAGTATACACAGAAACACTCCTGAATAGTTAATAATTTAACTACCATGCAAGAATTTACTAAGAAGGCAGTAGTAACCTCTGTATATTCTATATGTGCATGTAATTTTGGTGTAGAATGACAAATACATTGAGTTAGACTCATGCAGAAAAATATGTATCAAACTAGAAATCAGGAGAACGCTAATAGTGTCCTACGGCAGTTAGGATTGCCAAGGAGAGAAATACGGCTACTATGTGGGAAGGTGATATTAGTTGAGTGAAACACAGGCTTAAGACTGTAGAGTTTTATATGAGTTTCAAAGACTAGACTTTATAAAAGTGCTTAGCTGTTCCTAGCTCCACATTTATTAACAATTAATATAGTAGCTGAAGAGTAAGATAATGAATAAGGTATTAGCTACTATTGGAGAAAACTTATAGGAATAAATGAGCAAAGCAGAGAGAGAGATGAGCAAAATAAAGAGAATTTTGAAATATGCTATTTGCTTGACTTGTTCCTCTGCAATTTCAACAAAGTTTGTTTAGGTTTGGTTTGTTGTTCTGTTATTTTCTCCTGGTTACATTAGTCTTCACTGGCATCAGTACTGTTCACTCTGATAGTCTTTTCTAGATAAGTGTTGTCTTGGAGAAAGTTATGCTGCAATTTCTTAAGTATAATTGGCACAATGCATGTATCTGAAAAAAAAAAAAGGTTTTATTTCTTTATTGCATATTTAATGTGCTTATATAAAAATGACAGATAACTCAGTTAAAACTGACACAGGTACAAGTATGGTATTTCTAAAATTGTTTTGCTTGAGGCATAGAGCTATGGAAGGGATAACATGATGCACAGGTTGGACAGAAAGATGGGCAGCTCTTTGATATATGTAGAAAGGAAATATCCTTTAATATTTTCACTTCAAAGTTGAGTATTTAATATGAACATAATCTGATCATTTTCTCATAAAATGCCAGCAGCTCAATTGCAATAGTACCATTGGAATTTTTTTTTTTTTTAATTTCCATTGTCCAGAAATTCTGGTGACTTGATATAAAGTTGGGTTCAGACTTCTGAACTTTAATTCTTTTATAATTAACCTGTTTTAATTGTCTAAGAAAACATGTATAATATACAGAAAAAGCAGTAAAACTTACAAAGTCTGTCAAACATCTTGTTTAGGACTATTATTTATGTGCTCACAAAAAGAGCTTGTCATGCAGTAAACATCTGCCTGTTTAATACTCTTTCTCTATTTGTACATTTTGCTTCCAACAGTTTAATTTGTCTTTGTTAAATGTAGTGAGCCATCTGGTGGCATATCAAAAACATATACACTAACTTTTATGTGATTACTGCTGTGTTAGATTTTCAGTGCTAGCTTACTGTTTGTTATCCAAGGGAAAGAAATACTATAATTTGCTTTGTTTTGATTCTTCAGCTGTTGTCAGAAAATCATACAATGTTATTGCTGCTAATCTGAAAACAGAAACGTGGAGTTTTTCTTAGTAAACTTTATTACAGTAGCTGTGGAATCCTATTATTCTCACTTTATGTGCAGTGAGATTTCAAAATGCATTCACGTGATTTTTCAGTACCTAGATTTGTTGGTGAAATTATATGTAAACTCAATTAAGAGGAAAATTGATAAATACAAGTAAATATACTTTTTTCTGTTTTGCCTTACAAGGATTTTAAAATACCTAGTAATCCCACTCTGAAGACTCCGCTAGCAGCTGTATTCGATGACTTAGATATAGAAGTGGAAGAAGATGAGTTAAAGACTAGAGGTAATAAAAGCAAAATCCAGTGCTTTATTGCCCTTTATTGTGTGTGTATGTCTCCAAGTCTGTTTACCAGCTATGTACTAGTTCTCTTCTAAGTGAAACTGTTTCTGTTCTGCTCCAATTAAGATCTCTATTTTTAGTTTCACCTTTATTGCAGCAATCTTTACTTACCTGCAGAGCAGAGGCAGTGGTGATAAATGCAGTGCAACTGTACAAACAGCAACAAAAATAAGAAAGCATGTTGGAGTAATGTTTGGTATAGCTGGTGTTCTAGCCACTCTGGTAAAAGTAGGTTTTCTATAAAACCTGTTCTAATGTTTTCTTCTGTCCTAAAAGGTTTCTAATTTGAATGCTTTCCTGCATTATGGGTAACCCTTTTCTGAGCCTGTAGTATCCCAGTGTGGGTTTTTGTTTTCTCTTTTTCAGTAGTGGGTTTCATGCACTGCCAAACTCTCTGGTATAAAAGGTTACCCTACCCTAATATTAAACTTCTGTAAAGATGAAAATGAGAGTGGATGAAACCCCAAACAGTGAAGCCTTAATTTCTCATTTCATAAGAGAACATAATAATTATTATTTCTTACAAGTCTCAAATTGGTATTGATAATTTTAAAAATGATATGTGTATTTGTTAGTAAAGAAAATTTTTCTAAGTACCATTTTCTCAGACAAATCTGACCAGCAGATTGTTAAGCTATTATTTTTGAGGTGCCAACGCATATGTTAAGGCAGTTTGTTTTCCATCAATGATGATAAAAGAGTTATTCTAATTTATGGATTTCATTTCTTCTTTAGTCATCTACTACCAGCTTTCCCTCTCCCAAGTCTGCTGGCATTGGCCAGAAATCCTACTTTGCCCCTTCTGTTGTCTGGCACAGTCTTTCTGGATACGTCACCACCCCACTAATTTGCCATCTGCCCTTAAATAATTAAACCATGTGTTTTAGTCACAGTTAGTTTCTCTTACCAGTATGTGTATTTGTGTGTCTTCTTGATATATTAATATTTTTGGGAATGTAACTTGTATAGAAGTAGCATACAAGTAGAATTGCATTAAAGTTCCCAGTAATATTGATGTGACTCAAATTTAAAGGAAAAAAAAAATCTTCAGCTCCATTTTAACTTTGTTCTTAATTTTTTTTTAAATGCTTGTGATGAAGCAAACATTAGAATATATATTTGAAAGAAAAATCTTCTATTAAAAAACTTTATTTGCAACACTGCAAGCTGGAAATCTGCAGTGATATACCTTCTGCTGTAAAAACCCCCCCAGAATAAAATAAAAAAGTAAATCCTATGACTGTTCTTGCTTTCCAGTTTCAGTAAGAATGACTGTCCTTGTAGCAGAAATTGGAAGGGCAGAATGCAGTTTCAGAGCTGGAAGCAGGACTGTATTTTCGTTCAGGCAGATAGAAGAACCTTTTAAAACTTTAGTTCTGTGTATTAGAAAATTCAACTGAAGTAACCAGACTTGTTTTTAGATGTAAAAGGATTTTCTTAGTAAGTTTTATTTTTCTGTCCTAGACTAAAATGATAGGGGTAGTTCCTTCAAGGATTGCATAGAGCTAGTGGTGTTGACTGTTGAGTATTTTAAGTCTTTCAGTCTTATTGATTCTGTGCTTATAAATGTTACTGTTTTCTCACAGAAAAGCAATTTTATTTTGAAATTAATTACTTCATTAATTTAACACTTTAGTAGCTATGAACAGCAAGTGTTTCAGATCAATTTTTTTAGATTGAGATCTTATGATAATTATGACTTGTTTAAATTGCCTCTCCTCAAATATTTAGAGACAATTTTTCATAACTGCATAATCACTGAAAGAATATATGTTGATTGTAACTTCTGTGTGTGGAAAAACTAAATGTGGGTATCAGTAAAGAGAGTAAACAGTCTGTGCTTGAAAATGAATTCTGTGGGGAAGTCTAAACTGAGCAGTCTGTGTATAAAAATAAGGTTATGTAATTGGCATAGAAAAATACTGATCTTAGGTAATTATAATCCTCATTCTGGGATAATCACATGCTGAGTAGATTTTGAATGTTTAGTATCGTGTCTACTAGCATGAACTTGAGACAGAAAAATGAAGTCTTCCTTGAGAAGCTTTTAGTAATATGATCAATGATTACACAGCACAACAATTTAACTCAACAGGTAAACCATTAAGTTCAAGTAAAACTTAAATATTGATAACATTTTAAATTACAATCTGCAGCTGTCATAAAAACATCAAAAGTTAGTGAGATGAAACACAATCTACTTGTCTGAAGTGTTTTAGCCAAAAATCAAAACAATCAATTACTTCTTCTAGTTTGGTTAGTATTCCTTTAGGAGTCCTCTGTTTCTTCTAGTTACAACTCTGTATGGTAATTAGCATCAGAAGTGTTACCTGAGTATTTTAATTAGTACATATTTTTTCAGAAGTATTTTCCTTAATACATTTTGTGTTGCATTAACAGATGTGCTGAATGCTCATTCTGTTTTTCAGGTCTAACAGGATTAAAAAATATTGGAAACACTTGTTACATGAATGCAGCTTTACAAGCTCTTTCCAACTGGTAAGGAAAATGGTTGTAAATGTAATTTTATATTTGCTTATACATGCATTTTATCAAGAGAGACTTAAGTATTTTGAAGGTCTGTGCTACCATGGAAGATGATGTGTATTTGTTAAATCTCAGTCTTATACACTACAAACAATTGTGTCACTGATGGGGGGGTGGGTGAAGTATTATGGTATATGAGCTACTCAACTTCTTCCTTGTTTCATTCTAATTCCTCACCATCCTAAGTAAAAATACACACAGTTCTAGAAATTAGAAGAAAATCTGGTAAAAACTATTAAATCTATGGGTTGGGTTTTTTCTTGCTACAAAAGAAGTGAAAAAGAAATATGTAAGAATAAATTCTTATTAAAAAAAAAGACATGTTAAGATCAAAAGATCCAAATTCAATCCTTAGAAACAGTGCATCTGGGACACTCTGTGCTAAACCATTCTAGGAATGGCTAGAAGGCAAAATCTCATTCCATGGAGATACTAGACAAGTTCATGAAGGAGAAGTCTACAAAAGCTGAAGAGAGAAAAACACTATCCAGCTCTGAAGTTTCTTGCACTCAAAATGGTTAGGCATGGACAGTACTTGGGCATATATCAAATATGTGCTTACTGTATGCATCTGCTGTTGGCTGCAGTCCAAGACAGGATACAGGGCTAAGTAGACCTCATTGAGATCCTTTGTTGAGGGAGAAGAGAACTGAAGCAAATCTCTCTAGAAAATAAAGAAGTGGACAAGGCATCTAATCATAAGGAACTGATTCTGTTGAGAAATGCCAAATTTTGCAAGTGTGCTGGGAGGTCTCCTTTCTTGGACAAAAATAGGTCCAACCTGTATGAGGGATTCAGAAGGAGTTGAAAGGAGAGAAGTGAGAGAGTATGTGAGTTGGCAACCCTGCATGAAGTAAACGGATAAATAATAATTGAAGTATAAATTATTTACCTACAAACATCATGTGGCACTGTTGGATTCCAGAGAAAAGGTGCATTTTAAGATGCTAATTACAAACTAGGCTTAGGGAGATTGTTGCCGTAGTGGTACATGTGTACTTCTGTGATGGATGGTAGGAATTGCCTTGAATGTGAATCCCATTAGACAGTTCCAGAGCTTTAACTGTACTGCTGAATGTGTCCTGCAAGGAAATGTTTGGTTGCAGCATTTAAGGATGTAGGAAATGGAGTTGTTCAATTACATACTAGTAATACTTTTTTTTAATAATCTTGTATGAAATGCAGATTTCCTCTTGTATTTTAATAACCCGGAAAAAATACTATTTTCTTCTTTTTAATCAGCCCACCTTTGACACACTTTTTTCTTGACTGTGGAGGCTTAGCCCGAACAGATAAGAAACCAGCAATTTGTAAAAGTTACCTCAAGCTGATGACAGAACTCTGGCACAAAAGCAGGTATTGCATAATTATGGTGATGAAATTATTATAAATAAACTCCAGAGTCATGAAGGATGCATTAATCTGTTTTCTAATTTTTTTGTGTGTATCACAGAATTACTCTTATAAATTAAGGAAGGAAAGACTAACTTGCAGGATTTAAACCTTCCTTATAATCTCTTCCATATCTACCAAATATAGGACAAATAATTGATGTAAATTGTAGTAAAGATCTGACAAGAAATAGATTATAAACACTATACGAAGTCACATGAAGCTCTTAAAAGTAGGTTTATATCTGGAAGAAATACATCTAAAATGTTTAACTACTTTATCTTATCTGTGTCCTTCATTCTGTATCAGTGTTTTATCAATTTCTCTTGTTTTCTTATATGGAATTTCTGTTACCTCTGTCTAAGAAAATACTTCAAAATATAAATACAAAAGTAAAGAAACAGTAATCGTACATAGTGCTGAGAGTTCTCTGACAAGAATGTGACATAGAAGTCCTGATGCAGTCACCATTTCTGTTGAAGGACAGATTTAAAAAACCCCTGTATTGTTAATTATTCAATACTAATATTTTATGTTTGATTAAGATTAATATTACTGGTGTTAGAAGTGTTATAGTTCAGTTGCAGGTAAAATTCTGATTCCAGTAAAGACAGAAAATTCCACTTAAGTGCTTGCTTTTTTACCTATGTTTATATATTTGAAACTTTTTTTCTTTAGGCCTGGTTCCGTTGTTCCTACTGGTTTATTTCAAGGTATTAAAACTGTTAATCCAACATTTCGAGGCTACTCTCAACAGGTAAATCTTTTTGATGTCTTTTAAATTTGCCTAAGCCACAAAGTTATCTCTTAAAAAAAAAAAAAAAAAGCTTAAGATACCATGCTTCCTATATTTGTTTAAAGCAAATGCACCATAAACTTTAGTTTATATGCTTCATAGGTAGATAATCTGAAACCAAACCATCAACAGTTAAGTCAGGTTTTATGTTTGTTTATATCAAATTATTGAAACCTTCAACTTCTGAAAATAACTCCTTTCCCCGTTTTTTATGAAAATTAAAATAATACATATCTAAAACTCTTCCTTTGTGTGAAATAATGCTGGTATTGGTAAGTTGGTAACTTGTTAGAGGCATGGATTATTGTATAGTAAAGGCGTTCTTCAGCTGATCCTTCATACAGGATCTTGCTGCATTCATACAGTTTGCAGTACTTTATTAAAAACTTTTCAGATAGAGGAAAAATTTAAACCCTGGAATTAGAAAAGTTTACTAATCTTCCAGGAATCTGCTGTTATTCAAATGAATTTTGGCGTTTCAGTTAGTGTGTTTCATATTTGTGGAGTGGAGGATTAGAACACATATTTTAATGTTCAAATGCTGCATGTAGCTGTAAAGTAAATGTTTAAATAGTAATCTCAATGTTTTTTAGTTTATTCATGAACTTCTTAAGAACCACAGGAGTTTCTGGAAAAGGAGAAAATCAGTCTTGATAACCAAAAAGAAACTGTATGGAAACTTGGTTCTTGCAGCTTTAAACACTGATGAGAATGTGTTTTTTCCATACATAGCAACACTTAATGAGAACCTTTTTAGATTCTGCCTGGATCACACTTCAGTTGTATGTTTAGCAGGTTTCATGGCAACAATTAAAACAAAGCAGGTCTTTCGGGACCAACACTCTCCTATTGCCCAACCTTGCAAGTTGGGCAGCCATGTCTGATATTCAGGGAGAAAAGGGAATTCTTCTGCTTCATGAAAAATGTTTATCAGTTAATCTATGTCTCAAGGTTTGACCTTTTTTTTTTTTTTTTTTTTTTTTTTTTGTAAAAGGATTACCAGCAAATGGGTGTATTGGATTTTCTTCATTACTTAAACCAAAAACTCAAATTTAATAGTTGTAGTTTCTAAGAAAAAGAATGTTTTCTAGTCAGCAGTTGTGAACTTAGTAAGTAATTTGCTATGATGGATGGGAACGTTAAGCTGCAAAAATTATCATTATGAACAACCAAAATACAAAAAGGAAAAGAGAAGAAAACAGAAGCAGTAGTAGTTGCCAAGAAGAGACTGTTGTTTTCTCCCCTGCTTGCTTTATTAAATATTCTCTGTTGCCAGGAACCAAACTGCTGTGTGGATTGTTGAAATTTGGTGGCTTTTAAGATATTTCCAAATACAGATTAGACTTGTAGTAATAGTTGACAGCTCTTTGTGGAAATGCTGATAGTTGAGGAATCTTGTCCAGGCTTAGAAGAAGAATTAAGATCTTGTTGACAGTATAATGCGATGGGAAAGATGGGATAAGTACAGCGTAACACTTTTTAATAGAGTACTTCCATGCCTAGTGAAAGCAAGGCTCTGATTACTTTGTTGAAGATGCTACATAAGGCTTTAAAAAACTGTCCCTAAAAATTTTCCATTAGCAGCAAAGCTGGAGTCTGACCACAGTGTTGGTAGTTGCTTGCATTGTATTTATCATTCATGTAGGCTATGGCAGTATTTTTGTTAAAGCTGTTGAAATAAACTTTTTGGGAACTGAAGTGTTTTGAAGGAAACTTGTATGATAAGATTACTTGTGACATCCAAGAAATGGATGCAGGAAAGAAATCATGGTCTGGAAATGAAATTTCTTTTGAACATTAGGCCTGGGACAGAGGAATTAACCTTATTCTTCTTTAACAGCCAGCTGTAGCTTTCATTTTAGTGGTCTGTATCTTTTCCTGATAGGACTTTAATATCTTCCAAATAAAATGGAATAATATTGTAAAACTTGTTTAAATCCTAGGATGCACAAGAATTTTTGCGTTGTCTAATGGATCTGCTTCATGAAGAACTTAAAGAACCAGTTGTAGAAGTGGAAGATGCCCAGCCTATGAGTGTTGAAGAAAGTATGGAAGAAGACAAGAGCCAGTCAGATGTAGGCTTTCAGCCTTGTGAATCCTGTGGTACCTGTGATAAAACAGAAAATGATGCTATTTTCAAACCTGTCTTAGAGGATCCTGCAGAGACAACCATGTTAATTCAGGATGATGATAACAACTCAGTCACTTCCAAAGATTGGCAGAAAGAAAAAATATCAAGCAACAAGCTTAAACGAGCAAATTCTATGGAAGACTTGGAAAAAGACACAAACACTGCTACAGAGACCACTGAATTTTTGAATAATCAAGGAACTGTCAAAGTACAGATACACAGCAGGTTCTCAGGTAATGCGTTACTAATATGCAATTGAAATAGTCAAATTCTCAGTCAGAATATCTGTGTGAGTGGAAATGAGTTGTGTAATATAGGAGAGAGGTATAGTTCAAATAAGGTAGGTGGATTTACTTGTAAACAATGTATCTTCTTTATTTTTTTCGGTTTGGGTGTTCTGAATTCAATTCAAATTCCCTTGAAAAGCTAAAGATTCAGATAACCCAGAAAAGTATAGTTTTTTGGTTTTTTTCTTAGCTTAAAGGTGTATGAATTGAAATGGTGCTTTATTCTTAAATGTCCAGTGACCTGTGTGGTTAAATAACCTATGTAACTGTTGTGTCTGTCCATTCTGCAGTACGTTTTAGGTAGAATTTATTAAATAATGCAAATATTAATTGCAGAGTACATTAGTGATGTCCATATGAATGAGGTATCTGCAGCCCAAACCCCATCATCAAATGAAGGGATGAATGCACGCTTATCAAACAGTCCTCCAAAATCATTCTCATCGTGCTCTTCACTGGCACTAGTCCACAAAAAAGGTATAGGCTCTTTATTTTCTTCTTCTTGGTACTGGATTGCTCTGTATTACAGTTCTCATTTTGTTGTTTCTTTTGTTTTACATAGCAATGCAGTGTTGTTCTTCGGGGTTTTTTTATCTCCTATCCCCAGTGGGGGGAGAGAGCATTATATAAACTGAACATATAGTAAGTCTCCCTTCTGTAAAATTTTAATTATTTTAAAGCTTGAATAGTATTTGCTTCTGCTTTGGGAGGATAGAATAATGTTTTTAGACAACTTTCTCAATTGCACTGGCTTGAGAGAGGGAAAACGTGGGAGAAGTTAGTACCCACAGAAGGGTGATGTTTTTCAGAGAACATGCATGTTGGTTCTTCAGCAGAAGTTCAATAAGTCAACATTTTAGTTTATTAAGGTTTAAGGAGTCATGTGTACCTGTACTGTAGATAGACTTGTAAGTGCTGCTTTCTAATTGTTACAGTCTTTGTGGCATAGAGTATTTCTTTTGGCACTTTCCACAGTATGATATGTTTATCAGCATCCAGAATGTTTATACTTTTATTGTCTCTAGGTACAGGACAGGGCAACTTTAGGGCACAAGGAATACATATATATTTTTTAATCCTTATTTGTCTAACAGCAGACTATTTTAATAAAAACTTGTCTTTTGGAGCATACTTTTAAGGCTAGTATTAGACCAAACCAAACAACTCCCACAACTTTAATATTGTGATCCTCTTTCATTCAATAGACTGTCCAGTAACAGTTCTGAGAATGCTGATTATCCTTTTCACGTTTTAACATTGACGTTGAATGACGGTGATTTAATAGACTTAAATCATTGTCCTCCTTGGTTCATTTGTTCAACAGTTTTGACGCTGCATCTGTACTACTGTCTCCAGTTTTGGCATCACCATTAGAGGAAGGCTTTAGACAAACTGAAGTGAGTCTTTCAGAGGAGGTACTAGGTGGCTGGAGCCTGTCGTGTACAAGGAGAGGCTGAGAGAAGAGGGTTTGCTCAACCTAGAGAAGGAAAGGCTAGAGGGGAACTGTTGCTGTCATCAGCATTATGAGTGGCTATAGAGAAGGCAGAGCCAGACTGTCTTTGAAGCCATGCAGCAAATAGAAATGGAAGCAAATTGCAGAAAGGAAAATTTCTGTTAGATGGAAAGAAAAAAAAATTCTTTCCATTGAATGGTTGAATACTGGAACAGAGGTGGGAGCCCAGAAGTACCCAAGGTTCTTGGAGACAGACATTCCAAAGTTCAACTAGAGCTGCTTTGAACAGAGACTGTACCAGATGATATCCAAAGGTCTCTTCCGA